GCATCTTCTTTCTCCAGGAGGTGATGAGCCCAGGTCTGGGGTTCTCCATGTAGCAAAGATGACGAATCCTACTTTGGTGGCATCTAATAAGAAGGTACGGGGTTGCAACGTAACAAATAGCTGACATACGTTGCGGAATGCACAAAACTTGGTCCAATCCCTGAAAAATCTCTCTGATGTGGGCACTCTAGGTTCAGGAGGAAGCATCAAAATGGTGGAGGTGGCTGGAGCAGCAGCCTGGGAAGTAGAAGCTGAGGTAGAACTGGCGGAGGCTGCAGTAGTCGGGTTCGTGGGTGCTGGCAGAGCTTGGAGGCGACTTTCGAGCTGCGTATAACACTCCTGAAGACTTCTGACGGCCTGGGTCAGTGCAGCGATATGCTGGCAGATCTCTTCCAGCGGGGAGCCCCCTCTTTCAGGTTCTGACATGGCCGTTTGGTATTGTCACGTACCTGATGGTGGAACCTGAGATGTAGAGGAGGGCCTCCCTTGCGGCTCTGGCTCGGGGCCCTGGTAAAGCGACAGGGAGTGCCGGAGCACAGAGGTGCACGAGTGCCCGGTGGGAATTATGTGGACTGATGTGCGTCAGGAAATGCAGGAGCAGCTGGAGGATGGCACACTGGCAGAGGTGCAGGGCAGTCAGGCAGCCGACGCTCAGGCAGATGTGCAGGATACTGGCAGGGCAGAGTCCCATCGTAGTTTAAATAGCTCTCCTGGCGCCAAAGTGGCGCCGCACATGTACACCTGCCGACCGGCCATCAACGGAGTCGGCAGGAGCCCTGAGCCTGCACACATCCATGTGCCTACCCTGACACAGAGGTATCGGACAGGGGTCAGATTCATATTTTTAAGGTCAGTTCCAGACACAGAGTTGGGGTTGTGTAGTCGGCAATGTTGGGTTGTCAGACAGAGGTGTTGGACAGGGGTCAAATTCATATCCGAGGGTCAGTTTCAGACACAGAGTTGGGGTTGCATAGTCGGGCAATGTTGGGTTGTCAGACACAGAGGTAACGGACAGGGGTCAGATTCATATTTGAGGGTCAGTTCCAGAGTTGGGGTTGCGTAGTCACGCAATGTTGGGTTGTCATACAGGGGTCAGATTCACATCTGAGGGTCTGTTCCAGACACCGAGTTGGGGTTGCATTGTTGGACGGGTTAGATTCATATCCGAGGGTCAGTTCCAGACACAGAGTTGGGGTTGTGTAGTCGGGCAATATTGGGTTGTCAGACAGAGGTATTGGACAGGGGTCAGATTTATATCCAAGGGTCAGTTCCAGACACAGAGTTGGGGTTGTGTAGTTGGGCAATGTTGGGTTGTCAGACAGAGGTATTGGACGAGGGTCAGATTCATATTTGAGGGTCAGTTCCAGACAGAGTTGGGGTTGCGTAGTCACGCAATGTTGGGTTGTCGGACAGAGGTATTGGACAAGGGTCACATTCATAGCCGAGGGTCAGTTCCAGACACAGGGTTGGGGTTGTGTAGTCGGGCAATGTTGGGTTGTCAGACAGGCATTGGACAGGGGCCAGATTTATATCCGAGGGTCAGTTCCAGACACAGAGTTGAGGTTGTGTAGTCGGCAATGTTGGGTTGTCAGACAGAGGTGTTGGACAGGGGTCAAATTCATATCCGAGGGTCAGTTTCAGACACAGAGTTGGGGTTGCATAGTCGGGCAATGTTGGGTTGTCAGACACAGAGGTACCGGACAGGGGTCAGATTCATATTTGAGGGTCAGTTCCAGAGTTGGGGTTGCGTAGTCACGCAATGTTGGGTTGTCATACAGGGGTCAGATTCACATCTGAAGGTCAGATCCAGACACAGAGTTGAGGTTGCATTGTTGGACAGAGGTGTTGGACAGGGGTCAGATTCATACCCGGTGGTCAGTTCCAGACACAGAGTTGGGGTTGCATTGTTGGACAGAGGTGTTGGACAGGGGTCAGATTCATACCCGTTGGTCAGTTCCAGACACAGAGTTGGGGTTGCATTGTTGGACAGAGGTGTTGGACAGGGGTCAGATTCATACCCGGTGGTCAGTTCCAGACACAGAGTTGGGGTTGTGTAGTCGGGCAATGTTGGGTTGTCAGACAGAGGCATTGGACAGGGGGCAGATTTATATCCGAGGGTCAGTTCCAGACACAGAGTTGGGGTTGCGTAGTCACGCAATGTTGGGTTGTCATACAGGGGTCAGATTCACATCTGAAGGTCAGATCCAGACACAGAGTTGGGGTTGCATTGTTGGACAGAGGTGTTGGACAGGGGTCAGATTCATACCCGGGGGTCAGTTCCAGACACAGAGTTGGGGTTGTGTAGTCGGGCAATGTTGGGTTGTCAGACAGGGGTCAGATTCATATTTGAGACACAGAGAGTTGGGTATCAGACTCATATCTGGTGCTCAATGCCAGACGGGCAGGATTGGGTGTCCGGCTCAGAGTAGTAGTCAGACAGGATTTTAATACCGCAAATTCTCGAGACACATTCGGAAATCTTTAAGAACGTCCCCAAAAGCTGAGAGAAGACGGCGTGTATTACCCTTCAGTGGGGGCGGAAGGGATCCTGCGGTGGGAGGTATCCCGGACCTAGGTGGTTGGTGCTCACAGACAACACATACAGGAAGCAGACGGACCAATCAGACGTAGGCGGTGACATTTATTATTTTTTCAGATACAATAAAACTCATTGAAGTAAAATAACAGCACAAAGTACAGATACAAAAATCAAGGCGTTAGTCTCCGACATGCGAAAGGGACGACTCCTGGGGTGTCCTCCTACACGGGTTAGAATTCTAGTCTAAACAAAACCCTCCAGATCCCAAAACCCGCCAGATCCCCATGTGCAGTGTCTATCCCCCTCTATTCTCTGCACTGCCTGCTGGAGGCGCTGCTGAGGTCCCACCCGGTGCTGGACATGGCGCCACCTTTCTATGGCTCACCTTCGAGGGGAGGACAGAAGGCTGGACGTGGCACCACCTTTCTATGGCTCACCTTCGAGGGGAGGACAGAGGCTGCACGTGGCGCCACCTTTCTATGGCTCACCTTCGAGGGGGGGACAGAAGGCTGGACGTGGCGCCACCTTTCTATGGCTCACCTTCGAGGAGAAGACAGAAGGCTGGACGTGGCGCCACCTTTCTATGGCTCACCTTCGAGGAGAAGACAGAAGGCTGGACGTGGCGCCACCTTTCTATGGCTCACCTTCGAGGGGAAGACAGAAGGCTGGACGTGGCGCCACCTTTCTATGGCTCACCTTCGAGGGGAGGACAGAAGGAGGTAGCGCCAGGCAAGACATAACGGCTCATTAAATACTTGTATCTAATACTCCTCCTGACCGGACTCCACCCCCTCCCCGGTCACCGCTCATTGCCCCGCCTATACAGAATACCCCGACACCACGGCGGAGTGCCGTCTCACATATCCTTTCCTAACGGAGAAGATCCGTAACATCACAAACACGATTCTGTCAATCAGGTAATAAAATCGAGTAAATTTCCCCCGATAACCGGCTCTGTACAAATGTTACTCCCATAGGAGTAAACAAGCCCCATTCACCCTTTTATGGGGAGATTCCTCCGCCATGATCTGCTGTGCCCTTGGCATCTCATTAATACTAACCCAAGAAGACCAAAAACAGTCCTGCGGAGCAGCAGGATACGGCTCAGTAAAGAGGATAGGAGGCTCACAGATCTGAGGACCCAGCAGAGGGGTGCAAAGGTGACAAAGCCCACCTAGACGTAGGATTTCCTCCTTCCAGCCCAGATCTGAGGACCCAACAGAGTGGTGCAAAGCCCACCTAGACGTAGAATTTCCTCCTTCCAGCTCAGATCTGGGGACCCAACAGAGTGGTGCAAAGCCCACCTAGACGTAGGATTTCCTTCTTCCAACCCAGTTCTGGGGACCCAACAGAGTGGTGCAAAGCCCACCTAGATGTAGGATTTCCTCCTTCTAGCCCAGATCCGAGGACCCAGCAGAGGGGTGCAAAGGTGACAAAGCCCACCTAGACGTAGGATTTCCTCCTTCCAGCCCGGATCCGAGGACCCAACAGAAGGGTGCAAAGGTGACAAAGCCCACCTAGACGTAGGATTTCCTCCTTCCAGCCGGGATCCGAGGACCCAGCAGAAGGGTGCAACGGTGACAAAGCCCACCTAGACGTAGGATTTCCTCCTTCCAGCCGGGATCCGAGGAACAAGCAGAGGGGTGCAAAGGTGACAAAGCCCACCTAGAGGTAGGATTTCCTCCTTCCAGCCCAGATCCGAGGACCCAGCAGAGGGGTGCAAAGGTGACAAAGCCCACCTAGACGTAGGATTTCCTCCTTAAAGCCCAGATCCGAGGACCCAGCAGAGGGGTGCAAAGGTGATAAAGCCCACCAAGACGTAGGATTTCCTCCTTCCAGCCCGGATCAGAGGACCCAGCAGAGGGGTGCAAAGGTGACACAGCCCACCTAGACGTAGGATTTCCTCCTTTCCAGCCCGGATCCGAGGACCCAGCAGAAGGGTGCAAAGGTGACAAAGCCCACCTAGACGTAGGATTTCCTTCTTCCAGCCCAGATCTGGGGACCCAACAGAGTGGTGCAAAGCCCACCTAGACGTAGGATTTCCTTCTTCCAGCCCAGATCCGAGGACCCAGCAGATGGGTGCAAAGGTGACAAAGCCCACCTAGACGAAGGATTTCCTCCTTCCAGCCCAGATCCGAGGACCCAGCAGAAGGGTGCAAAGGTGACAAAGCCCACCAAGACGTAGGATTTCCTCGTTCCAGCCGGGATCCGAGGAACAAGCAGAGGGGTGCAAAGGTGACAAAGCCCACCTAGACGTAGGATTTCCTCCTTCCAGCCGGGATCCGAGGACCCAGCAGGAGGGTGCAAAGGTGACAAAGCCCACCTAGACGTAGGATTTCCTCCTTCCAGCCGGGATCCGAGAACCCAGCAGAGGGGTGCAAAGGTGACAAAGCCCACCTAGATGTAGGATTTCCTCCTTCCAGCCCAGATCCGAGGACCCAGCAGAGGGGTGCAAAGGTGACAAAGCCCACCTAGACGTAGGATTTCCTCCTTCCAGCCGGGATCCGAGGAACCAGCAGAGGGGTGCAAAGGTGACAAAGCCCACCTAGACGTAGGATTTTCTCCTTCAAGCCCGGATCTGGGGACCCAACAGAGTGGTGCAAAGCCCACCTAGACGTAGGATTTCCTTCTTCCAGCCCAGATCTGAGGACCCAGCAGATGTGTGCAAAGGTGACAAAGCCCACCTAGAGGTAGGATTTCTTCCTTCCGGCCCAGATCCGAGGACCCAGCAGAGGGCTACAAAGATGACAAGCCTACTTAGACCTAGGATTTCCTCCTTCCAGCACAGATCCGAGGACCCAGCAGAGGGGTGCAAAGGTGATAAAGCCCACCTAGACGTAGGATATCCTCCTTCCAGGCCGGAGAAGACATCATTTGTAGGCCACTGGTAGACAGGATGTCCTCTCTCCGTGTTCACCAGATGGAGGCGCGCTGAATGGGAACCAGTCATGAGGCTGCAGCTGCTGAACTTCTGATTCCTCACTGAACTTGTCTCAGCACTTTCATGCACCGACCCAGAACAAGCATGGAGCAAAATGAAGCCCAGCTTCCAGATCTAGGATCTGTGACCCAACATACTGAAGACAAAGGATCAGCATGACACCATGGAAGCACACTGCACTCATTACAGGTTTCCATTACCACCACCAATCACGTGTTAATACCACAGCACCGCTCTGTGTAGAGACATCACAGCAGCCAAACTTTGGGTTTTTCCTACAATACTTTCATGTAACATCAGTGTGGGACCCGTTGTGGAGGCTGACGGGGACCAATCATTAGAGGGTTAAATATGTCAGATTTGAAGAAGAGAATTCCCCCAATCACATGGAGCAGATGTCTCACCCTGCACTACAGCCAATGAAATCACTGGGAGACAACACCAGGCCAGGAGTCCATGGATTGGGGGGGATGTTTGGTCTGGGAATGAATATGGTGGACCCTGCGGAGTATTTATACAAGTCAACTCCATACAGCAATTTCAGGAATGTTAAAAACAAAATAAAAATTGGGACTGAAATGTAAAAGTACAAAATATTGCACTGCCGTGATTTCCCAAAATGCCAGCAGGTCTCCACTAGGACCTCGTTCTTCTACAACCCCTGGCCTTACTCCATGTTATAATACCCCTACAGAACCTGGTTGTTCACCACCATGGGTTAATTCTTCTACAATACCTGACAGGTCTCCACTATTATCCTCCCAACATCCAGCAGGTCTCCACTATTATCCTCCAACATCCAGCAGGTCTCCACTATTATCCTCCAACATCCAGCAGGTCTCCACTATTATCCTCCAACATCCAGCAGGTCTCCACTATTATCCTCCAACATCCAGCAGGTCTCCACTATTATCCTCCAACATCCAGCAGGTCTCCACTATTATCCTCCAACATCCAGCAGGTCTCCACTATTATCCTCCAACATCCAGCAGGTCTCCACTATTATCCTCCAACATCCAGCAGGTCTCCACTATGGCCCACAATACCTGGCGGTCTCCCACTATTATCTCATTCCTCTACAATGCCCTCTATTATGAGCTCATTTCCGTTGGAACACCTTGCAGGTCTTCACCATGACATCGTTCCCCTAAGTTGCCCGACGGGGTCTCCACTATCGCCTCATTTCCCCTATAATACCTGGCCATTCTCCTTTATGTCCTAATTTCCCCCAAAAAGCTGGCAGGTCTCCACCATGACCTTCTCCTACAGTGCCCAGCAAGTTTTCACCATGACATAATTCTCCTGAAATGCCTGGTGGGTCTCAACCATGACCTCATTCTCCTACCATGCCCAGTGAGTCTGCACCATGAACTCATTCCTGGCACAATAAAAGTGGGGTTCCACCATGACCCATTTGACTTCAGTGCCCAGCGAGTCTTCACCATGACCTCAATCCCCTACAATGCCTGGTGGGTCTTTACCATGACCGCAATCCCCTACAATGCCTGGTGGGTCTTCACCGTAACATTTTCCTACAATGCCTGGTGGGTATTCACCCTGACCACATTGCACTACAATGCCTGGTGGGTCTTCACCCTGGCCACATTGCACTACAATGCCTGGTGGGTCTTCACCCTGGCCACATTGCACTACAATGCCTGGTGGGTCTTCACCCTGGCCACATTGCACTACAATGCCTGGTGGGTCTTCACCCTGGCCACATTGCACTACAATGCCTGGTGGGTCTTCACCGTGACACTTCCCTAAGATGCCTGGTGGGTCTTCATCATTACCTCAATCCCCTACAATTCCTGGTGGGTCTTCACCATGACAACATTTTCCTACAATGCCTGCTGGGTCTTCACCATGACCACATTTTCCTACAATGCCTGCTGGGTCTTCACCATGACCACATTTTCCTACAATGCCTGTTGGGTCTTCACCGTGACCACGTTCCACTACAATGCCTGGTGGGTCTTCACCATGACCACATTTTCCTACAATGCCTGGCGGGTCTTCACCGTGACCACATTTTCCTACAATGCCTGGTGGGTCTTTACCGTGACCACATTTTCCTACAATGCCTGGTGGGTCTTCACCGTGATCACATTTTCCTACAATGCCTGGTGGGTCTTCACCGTGACTTCATTCCACTACAATGCCCATCAGTTTTGGGCTTCTTTTCACAAAAAGGATGTGGAGAAACTGGAGAGACTGTACGGGGCACAGGGTTGGGTGTCAGGCTCAGGCTAGTGGTCGGGTGTCAGACAGGTCCGGGATTCTATTTTTTTTTCAAAGATTTTAATACTTATCAAAGCATTTCATGTGCAAGAAACATTCGGAAATCTTTTCAGACGTCCAGGGGACACTGTGCCTGGAGGAAACGGTAAAACATCTACATAATGGGAAGACTTCTCCACAGTAAGAGCTTTGACAACGACTGGAGCAAACTCCAGCCAATTATATTCATTGCTCAAAAAAAAAAAAAAAAAAAAAAAAAGGGTCTGGCAGTTTCTCTCTATGTACAGAACAGGATTGGCTACTAATATCCGTAAATAATACTGAAGACTGATGATCCCGGGAACATCTTTCAGGGGATCGGGAAGGAACTGTATCCCTACTGGATTATATGAGATCACATTTCGTAAGGGTTTCCTCTGGATCAGATCCCTCAACAGAATGGAAGACCGCAGTGACGTCACAAGAGGAATCCACCATTAACGGAAGACCGCAGTGATGGCACAACAAGAGGAATCCACCATTAACAGAAGACCGCCGTGACGGCACAACAAGAGGAATCCACCATTCTATATACAAAGATAGATCTACTCCTATATATGTACAGCCTAGACAACTCCTACAAGTGTTGCAGTGCCACTCCCACCAGTTCCCGTGCCCTCTACAGGAGTCCGTTTGTGTGCGGGGTTACTCTAAGTGCTGATTTCTGACCGAGTGCCGAATAAAACAATATAAATTATTCCATACAACTTATTTCCAGTCCACATTTTACCACTTAAAAATATAGAGAATATCATTTTGAGGGATCTGGATCTCCACCCATGGTGCCCTTCGTAGCTTTGGAGGGGGGATGGGAGTTCAGCGCCTGCGTAATGTTTGTCTCTATGTTGCCTCGGAAGCCCCCCTCCTTTATAAGGGTTCCAACAAGGACTTTGCGAATTGAGGACTCGTAAAGCGTTCATAGCTTGGCTGTCTCTGGAAACAAGACTTTCGGGGTTGCTGTCTTAGACAATCTGGGCAATTAAAAAAAAAAAAACCAGGAGGTCCCAGCTGCATGCACGTGCACACGTACGGGAAAGCCCCACAAAGTGCTATGGGAGTGCCAACACGAGGACACAACGAGAACCAGCTTACTTGGAGGTAACCCCAAGCAACATATGAAAGGCCCTGTCGTGTCCGGGGCAGATTAAGACTTCATGCTATAGAGAAGAGTAGAACATTTCATGGAGGGGGACGAGGTGGGTGACGAGGGGCTTCACATATGTCCGCACACAAATGCAGCTGGGAGCTCTTCTGCTGTAAAGTGAGGTACCAGCTGGACTTGGCTTCGGTTCCTGGAATTTGTCCTTCTCTACATTAATACACGTCCGCCATCATTGTGTCCCTTCTATAAGAAGTCCTCACAGATCTGGACAGCGCCTCCACCATGGAAGGTTCTCTTTCTCCTCTATTAGATCTTCTGTCTCTGGTGGGACATTTCTGTCCCGTCGCTGGCGCTCAGTCGTTCTCTTTCTGATGGACACGTTGATGTTTCTTCAGCTTTGTCCGTTCGATAAATCTTTTGCCGCACTGGACACATTCGAAGGGTCGCTCTCCCGTGTGAATCGTTTCGTGTCTCTTCATGTGCGGCTGCTGGGTGAATTTCTTGCCGCAGTACGAGCAGGCGTAAGGCTTCTCGCCGGTGTGAATTCTCCGGTGGTGTCGGTAGGTGGATCGGTCAGTGAAGTTCTTCCCGCAGTCCTGGCAACGGAAGGGTCGCTCATCAGTGTGCGTCCTGAGGTGGACATGGAGGGCGGAGTTCTGCGAGAAACACTTCCCGCACTGAGTGCAGCTGTATGGCTTCTCTTTGGTGTGGGACCGCATGTGAACAATGAGGTAGCTGCTGTCCCTGAAGGTCTTCCTGCATACTTTACAGGCGTATGGGCGCTCCCCGGTGTGTATTAGGCGGTGCTGCAAGAGAGTGAAGTGCCGGGTGAAGATTTTGCCGCACTCTTTGCATGTGAAAGGTTCCATGCCGGCAAGAGGGCGCTTTCGCTTCTTTCTGGGAAGAACGACGCATTCGTTCTCGTCGTTTCCCTCACTTGGGCCATCCTGGCTGGGCGCCACATGCAAGGCCAATCTTTTACCACATTTGGTGCAAAGAACCTTATCTCTGGCCCCTCTGGGCGGTTTGGGACTTTTGGGGCTCTCAGCATTCCGAGGCTTCTTTCTTTTAGGCTCACCGGGTGACTTCTTCACTCGTTCTTTTCTGACAGGATTGGATTTTGTACCCGGTTTCTGCATTTTATCCCTGGCAATGGTGGACACAACACGGATAGGTCTCTTCTGCTGAATACTGGCCAGGGGTTTTGTCTTTTGTCTCTTCAGAAAAAGTTTCCCGCACTTCACACACGGCTCTTTCCTTGCCTGAACATCATTCTTTTGATTTCGGGGGTTGGCGGTGCTTTTATTGGATTTGGAGTCAGATGTGATCTTCTGCTCTTCAATGGAACATGGCTCATTTTGTAGAGTCTTGTTAGATTTCCTTTTCTCTGGATGACCAGTTTTAAGATCTGGATTTGAATGAACTCTTGTGGAAGCACTTTTAGTAGGTGTTTCGTTACTAGCTTTTACTTTGTGGTGGACTTTAGCATCTTCTTGGGCTCCACAATGCCTGCACCGGCTGCATAAGTTTAAATTCTTATCAGTGTCAAAGTTCGTTGCTTCTAACATAACATAACACTTCTTGTAATGGCTCCCATTCTTCTTCAGCTGGACATTATGACTGGCGGAGGTCCTTAACAAGGCCTCCTCTCCATTCGTCACTTGAACATTAGGACTGGTTGAGGTCCTCAGCGACTCCTCACCCTTCTTTAGCTGGACACTAAGATTGGCTGTGGTCCTCTGTGACACCTGCTCACCCTTCTCTAGCTGGACAGTATGACTGTTTGAAGTTCTAGGTGATGCCTCGACTTTCTTCAGTTGAACATTTTGATTAGTTGAGGTTCTCGGTGATGCCTCGACTTTCTTCAGTTGGACATTTTGATTAGTTGAGGTTCTCGGTGAAGCCTCCTCACCCTTCTTCAGCTGAACATTACGACTGGTTGAGGTTCTCGGTGATGCTTCACTTTTCTTCACTTGAACACTATGACTGCTTAAAGTTCTTGGTGAAGCCTCCTCACCCTTCTTCAGCTGAACATTATGACTAGTTGAGGTTCTTGGTGATGCCTCACTTTTCTTCACTTGAACACTATGACTGCTTAAAGTTCTTGGTGAAGCCTCCTCGCCCTTCTTCAGCTGAACATTATGACTAGTTGAGGTTCTTGGTGATGCCTCACTTTTCTTCATTTGAATACTATGACTGCTTAAAGTTCTTGGTGAAGCCTCCTCACCCTTCTTCAGCTGAACATTATGACTGGTTGAGGTTCTTGGTGATGCTTCACTTTTCTTCACTTGAACACTATGACTGCTTAAAGTTCTTGGTGAAGGCTCCTCACCCTTCTTCAGCTGAACATTATGACTAGTTGAGGTCCTTGGTGATGCCTCTCCCTTCTTTACCTGAGCATGATGATTGCTTGAGGTCCTTGGTGATGCCTCACCTTTCTTCAGTTTAACATTATGACTGGTTGAAGTTTTTGGTGAAGCCTCCTCACCCGTCTTCAGCTGAACATTAGGGCTGCTTGAGGTTCTTGGTGATGCCTCACTTTTCTTTGGCTGAACATTATAATTGGTTGAAGTTCTCGGTGAAGCCACCTCACCTTTCCTCAGTTGAACATTATGACTAGTTGCGGTCCTCAGTGATGCCCCCCCTTCTTCGGCTGAACATTATGATTAGTTATGGTCCCCAGTGACGCCTCCTCACCCTTCTTTGGCTGAACATTATGATTAGTTGTGGTCACCCCTCACTGATGCCTCCTCACCCTTCTTCGGCTGAACATTATGATTAGTTGTGGTCCTCAGTGACGCCTCCTCACCCTTCTTCGGCTGAACATTATGATTAGTTGTGGTCCTCAGTGATGCCTCCTCACCTTTATTCGGCTGAACATTTGGATTGGTTAAAGTACTTGGTGAAGCCTCCTCACCCTTCTCTAGCAGAACATTATGATTAGTTGAGGTACTTGGTGATGCCTCACCTTTCTTCAGTTGAACATTATGACCGGTTGAAGTTCTCAGTGAATAGTCCTCACCCTTCTTCAGCTGAACATCATGATTGGTTGAGGCACTTGATGATGCCTCCTCACCCTTCTTCAGTTGACCATTAGGATTGGTTGAGCTCCTCACTGTTTCGGCCTCACCATTCACTTCTTGCCTTTGCTTCTTCTTAGCAGTTGGACTAGTTTCGGGGGAATCGGCTAGCAGGGCACAATATGGCTTCTTTCTAGCAGGGCTTCCGGTCACATTTTTACCTGAGGTGGCATATTTGGTGGGTGTTGTATTTTGTGTGCCCTTTTGCGGACTAAATACACCTTTATCTCTCTGCCGGTTACACATTCTGCACACATGAAGAAAGGACTTTTCTACATCAGTTTTCTGCTGATCGTTGAGCCGCGTCCAGTGGGTAATTTTGCCACAATTAGAACAAGAATAAGATTTTACAAAGTTCTGATCTTCGTCAGCCGGGTGTGGCGGAGTGAGCTGGATCTCATTTGCTGGTTGCTGAATCTCCTCTTTGTGAATCGGGTCTATCTGTGTCCCTACGTCCTTTTTGTTTGTGTCCCCTGGGCCTGTGGAGAGGGAAGGCTCTGTAGTGTCTTTCTCACATACGGCACTTAGTGATGATCCTTCAACTTCCTCCATCGTCTTCATGGTCTTGTTGCATTTCATGGAATTCTGACTTTTCAGTTCTTGGTTTTCTCCTCCCAGCATGCCATGCACCGTGGTGGTTTCCCTTTCTGCCTGCATGGAATTAGGTTTGAGGTCCTGACTCTTTGTGACCAGGTACTCTTCACCTCTGTTCTCTGATTGCAGCAGAGGCCCCGTAGACGGGGATGGCTCTGCAGTGTCTCGCCTACATACTGCACTTGGCGCTTCAACCGTCTCCACTGTCCTCACCGTATTGTTGCATTTCTTGGAATTTTGACTTTTCAGATCTTGTCTTCCTCCTTCCAGAGTGTCAGGTGTCACAGTGGTCTTCTGCTCTGGCTGGGTGGCTTTAGGCTTGGATCCCTGACTCCTTGTAACCATGATTGACTCTGCTGTGGTGCTTCCCTTCGGGTCCACACTCACAATAACAATACGTGGAAAGACTTTTCTCTGCAGCCTAATGCTGTCGAAAAATTCCCTCTCAGCGCTGTCTTCTGGCTCAATAATAAAGGTGGTAATGGTGTCACTAAAATGGACGCGTTTTCCTTTCTTCCGTGGTGAAGCCATTCCTTCACATGCAGTCTTTTCTTGGGGTATCTCCTCCTCATTTACACTGAGAGTCTGCCCAGCATCTGTAAGGTCCTCTGTGGTTTTGGGTAAAGACTGAGGACTCGCAGCCCCTCCACAGCTCTCCGTATGTCCATCTCCATCCCTCGTGTCGGTGGTGTGCTCTTCAGGGAATGGAGCGGTATCTAAGGAGCTTGTGGCTCTCTCAGCCTCTGCTGTGTGCAGTGTATACTGTTCCAGGTCTGCTATCCCCTCCCCTCTGTCCGCTACACTCCCAGGTTCCTCCTCCGAGATGCTCAGAGTCACCCTCAGATCTGGTTTATATTGGGTGCCAGTTATTTGAATTGTCCGTGAACTTTGATCTTCTGATCTGTTCCCATCCTCAGTCTGAAGGCAGCTCGGCTCGCTTTCCCTTTCACTGGTCTGCACAGAGTCTGAGGAGTCCTCTGTGCGCAGTTCGGAGTGCCCCTCCCCAACTACATCCGGCTGGTCTGTGCAGACATCGCCACACATGGGAGGGGTCTCGTAGTTCCTCTCTACAATAGGTCCATTCTCTCTTTGCTCCGACCTCCTTGATGATCGGTGAGAACGACTTTTACTCTTCTTGTGTTTCTTTATCCACCTGAACGGGTTCACTCTGGGGTATCTCCGCTGTCTCTTCAGTGGTGGCGTGGATTCGGTGCTCTGCGTATCATGGATGTTCTCCTGCAATATGCTTCTGTCAGAGGCTGCCAACCGCTCGCCTTGCCAGGAACCTGTTGGAAGACCAAGGAGAAGGAATTAGCAATGAAGACGTGGAGAGAACAAAGTCTTAGAACTTCTCCCGCTATACAGGGATGCCGAGGCAATTCTACTGCATTCTACCCATTCTGTAGGAGAACTATGGAGGTTCTAGGATGGTAAGGAGTATGTTTTCCACGGACATCAGACCGCAGCACGGCCCACGGACAGACATCAGACCGCAGCACGGTCCACAGACGGACATCAGACCGCAGCACGGCCCACGGACGGACATCAGACCGCAGCACGGCCCACAGACGGACATCAGACCGCAGCCGGCCCACAGACGGACATCAGACCGCAGCCCGGCCCACAGACGGACATCAGACCGCAGCCCGGCCCACAGACGGACATCAGACCGCAGCCCGGCCCCAGACGGACATCAGACCGCAGCACGGCCCACAGACGGACATCAGACCGCAGCCGGCCCACAGACGGACATCAGACCGCAGCACGGCCCACAGACGGACATCAGACCGCAGCACGGCCCACAGACGGACATCAGACCGCAGCACGGCCCACAGACGGACATCAGACCGCAGCACGGCCCCACAGACGGACATCAGACCGCAGCCCGGCCCACAGACGGACATCAGACCGCAGCCCGGCCCACAGACGGACATCAGACCGCAGCCCGGCCCACAGACGGACATCAGACCGCAGCCCGGCCCACAGACGGACATCAGACCGCAGCCCGGCCCACAGACGGACATCAGACCGCAGCCGGCCCACAGACGGACATCAGACCGCAGCCCGGCCCACAGACGGACATCAGACCGCAGCCCGGCCCACAGACTGACATCAGACCGCAGCCCGGCCCACAGACGGACATCAGACCGCAGCCCGGCCCACAGACGGACATCAGACCGCAGCACGGCCCCACAGACGGACATCAGACCGCAGCACGGCCCACAGACGGACATCAGACCGCAGCACGGCCCACAGACGGACATCAGACCGCAGCACGGCCCACAGACGGACATCAGACCGCAGCACGGCCCACAGACGGACATCAGACCGCAGCACGGCCCACAGACGGACATCAGACCGCAGCACGGCCCACAGACGGACATCAGACCGCAGCACGGCCCACAGACGGACATCAGCCCGCAGCACGGCCCACAGACGGACATCAGACCGCAGCACGGCCCACAGACGGACATCAGACCGCAGCACGGCCCACAGACGGACATCAGACCGCAGCACGGCCCACAGACGGACATCAGACCGCAGCACGGCCCACAGACGGACATCAGACCGCAGCACGGCCCACAGACGGACATCAGACCGCAGCACGGCCCACAGACGGACATCAGACCGCAGCACGGCCCACAGACGGACATCAGACCGCAGCACGGCCCACAGACGGACATCAGACCGCAGCACGGCCCACAGACGGACATCAGACCGCAGCACGGCCCACAGACGGACATCAGACCGCAGCACGGCCCACAGACGGACATCAGACCGCAGCACGGCCCACAGACGGACATCAGACCGCAGCACGGCCCACAGACGGACATCAGACCGCAGCACGGCCCACAGACGGACATCAGACCGCAGCACGGCCCACAGACGGACATCAGACCGCAGCACGGCCCACAGACGGACATCAGACCGCAGCACGGCCCACAGACGGACATCAGACCGCAGCACGGCCCACAGACGGACATCAGACCGCAGCACGGCCCACAGACGGACATCAGACCGCAGCACGCCCACAGACGGACATCAGACCGCAGCACGGCCCACAGACGGACATCAGACCGCAGCACGGCCCACAGACGGACATCAGACCGCAGCACGGCCCACAGACGGACATCAGACCGCAGCACGGCCCACAGACGGACATCAGACCGCAGCACGCCCACAGACGGACATCAGACCGCAGCACGGCCCACAGACGGACATCAGACCGCAGCACCGCCCACAGACGGACATCAGACCGCGCAGCACGGCCCACAGACGGACATCAGACCGCAGCACGCCCACAGACGGACATCAGACCGCAGCACGGCCCACAGACGGACATCAGACCGCAGCACGGCCCACAGACGGACATCAGACCGCAGCACGGCCCACAGACGGACATCAGACCGCAGCACGGCCCACAGACGGACATCAGACCGCAGCACGGCCCACAGACGGACATCAGACCGCAGCACGGCCCACAGACGGACATCAGACCGCAGCACGGCCCACAGACGGACATCAGACCGCAGCACGGCCCACAGACGGACATCAGACCGCAGCACCGCCCACAGACGGACATCAGACCGCAGCACGGCCCACAGACGGACATCAGACCGCAGCACCGCCCACAGACGGACATCAGACCGCAGCACGGCCCACAGACGGACATCAGACCGCAGCACGGCCCACAGACGGACATCAGACCGCAGCACGGCCCACAGACGGACATCAGACCGCAGCACGGCCCACAGACGGACATCAGACCGCAGCACGGCCCACAGACGGACATCAGACCGCAGCACGGCCCACAGACGGACATCAGACCGCAGCACCGCCCACAGACGGACATCAGACCGCAGCACGGCCCACAGACGGACATCAGACCGCAGCACGGCCCACAGACGGACATCAGACCGCAGCACGGCCCACAGACGGACATCAGACCGCAGCACGGCCCACAGACGGACATCAGACCGCAGCACGGCCCACAGACGGACATCAGACCGCAGCACGGCCCACAGACGGACATCAGACCGCAGCAGCACGGCCCACAGACGGACATCAGACCGCAGCACGGCCCACAGACGGACATCAGACCGCAGCACGGCCCACAGACGGACATCAGACCGCAGCACGGCCCACAGACGGACATCAGACCGCAGCACGGCCCACAGACGGACATCAGACCGCAGCACCGCCCACAGACGGACATCAGACCGCAGCACCGCCCACAGACGGACATCAGACCGCAGCACCGCCCACAGACGGACATCAGACCGCAGCACCGCCCACAGACGGACATCAGACCGCAGCACCGCCCACAGACGGACATCAGACCGCAGCACCGCCCACAGACGGACATCAGACCGCAGCACCGCCCACAGACGGACATCAGACCCGCACCGCACGCCCACAGACGGACATCAGACCGCAGCACCGCCCACGGACATCAGACCGCAGCACCGCCCACGGACATCAGACCGCAGCACCGCCCACGGACAACAAAGTTCACAGCCATCAGATGACCCCATCACCCACAGAGAACAGATGACACCCACAGATATCACACCACACAACACTTAAAGCCATCAGACGCCACCACGGCCCACAGACATCAGACGCCACCCACGGCCCACAGACATCAGACGCCACCACGGCCCACAGACATCAGACGCCACACGGCCCACAGACATCAGACGCCACCACGGCCCACAGACATCAGACGCCAACGGCCATCAGACGCCACCACGTCACACAGACATCAGACGCCACCATGGCCCACAGATATTAGATGATACCACGGCCCAGATATTAGACGACACCACGGCCCACAGATATTAAGATACACCACGGCCCACAGATATTAAGATACACCACGGCCCACAGATATTAGACGACACCACGGCATTAGACGACACCACGGCCCACAGGCATTAGACGACACCACGGCCCACAGGCATTAGACGACACCACGGCCCACAGGCATTAGACGACACCACGGCCCACAGGCATTAGACGACACCACGGCCCACAGGCATTAGACGACACCACGGCCCACAGGCATTAGACGACACCACGGCCCACAGGCATTAGACGACACCACGGCCCACAGGCATTAGACGACACCACGGCCCACAGGCATTAGACGACACCACGGCCCACAGGCATTAGACGACACCACGGCCCACAGGCATTAGACGACACCACGGCCCACAGGCATTAGACGACACCACGGCCCACAGGCATTAGATACACCACGGCCCACAGATATTAGATGACACCACGGCCCACCGATATTAGATGACACCACGGCTCACAGGCATACACCACGGCCCACAGATATTAGATGACACCATGGCCCACGATATTAGATGACACCACGGCTCACAGATATTAGATACACCATCACCCATAAACATCAGATGAGTCCCACTCAATCCAGATGTTAGGGTCAAGGCTGATGACCTAAAGACTATGTGGAAACGGTCAAGAATTCTCAACAATTGCCCAAACAGGAATGTTCTGTAAGCCAAGTGCAGTGAAGGGGAAGCTGGGACAAAATAGATCATGAAATGGTCCAATGGCCTAAGCACAACTGACTGATAACTCATTATCTACACATAAGATGAGCGAACAGAACAAGTATGTGAAGTTCCGTCCAGATCAGAATCCAAAGTACCTCTTGCAGCAAAATCTCCCGTGCCTCCTACATAGGTGAGACACCCCATCGCCGTGACATTGTGCAACTGGATCCAGATCAGGTAACATATTAAGAGGAGGATCCAGCGATGAAAATACAAACACATGTTTGGAAATGTCAGGACGTGTCCATGCCTCCCTCCCAGTCCAACAGTTTGACGTTCCATGATAGGATCTTCAAGAAGGTGGGAGGAAGGACTTCCCTGAACCCAAAGCTGGATCACTGATCCACCAGACCAGGGACTGCCCGGTCCTCAGGGGTAGACAAATACGTCTGCTCAGAAACCCAGCTAACATGTCCCATGACAAGGTATGGTGCTAGAACAGTCTGGGATAGGACTGAAGAATGGACTGCCTCGAAGAAGGTTACTCACTGAGCCAGGACATTCATGAAACAGGTGAGAGGTGGGCAGCTCCCAGACTGAAGGACAAGGATGAGAGATTGGATAGGCTGAGAATTTTCCGAGGAAGAGACATGCTAATCCAAGATGCCTGCAGGCAATGAGACTGTTCCAGAGAAGATTCAGGATACAACCAAATCATTGAGACATCTGGAGAACTAGAGAGACGTTGTTCAACGGAT